TCTATCATTCTACATAGTCTAAATTAAATAATATTCGCCGGTTCGAGGTGCTAAATGTCATGGCCTTCAGCCATGATATCACACGATTATATCCTCTGAGTCAGGATTCCTTGAGTCATCAGCACGAGATGCTTGACTCATGGAGATGTATATATGTGATGAAGTTTTGTGAGAGAGGGGTTCTTGAGCATGATTATATCACTGAAAAACTAGGTTTTAGTTTTCTGGAGACTCTGTCTATAGGAATTTAATCACAATATTTATTCACTAATATTTCGATTGGTCACAATTTTCTCCATCAGAATCACTTTTTGAATTACTTTTACCATTGAAGACAGCCGAAAACTAAATCCGGTTGATCAATTTTGGGACTCACTGTATATTAAAATATCTTTAATAATTTCATTTGAAATAAATCCCAAAAGCAAAAAAAAAAACAAAAAAATTAGTTATTTTTGTTTTTTCTTCTTCTATTATTAAAAAACTTACTTCAACAACTTCATTTGTTAAACGAAATAAATTTTCAAGAAAATCATTAATATCACTAACACGTCTTTGAGCAACAATTTTATCTTCTGTTTGTCGAGAAAATTTTAAATCTAAATTAATTAATGGAAATTGTTTATTTAAACGTTCATATAATTCATAAAATTCATTATATGTGCGATAATGATATGTTATATATAAACGTGTTATATTTTGATTATTTATAATAATATTATCATCAAATATTTCACGTTCAACTTTAACTTTATATAAATAATGTTTTGTTGGATGTGTACGTTTTTCATAACTAACAACATGTGCTGATATTATTTTACCATCTGTTGCTATTGTATATGTTTTTGGTATAAATGATAATGTTGTACCAATAGATATTGTATTTGATGAATTTGTTGAATTTGTTGTTTGTGCAAATGTATGTATTAAAAAATTAAATGTTGTCCATGTTGAATTTAAACTATCAACAATAAGTTCAGTAAAATGTGCTATACTATGTGCATAATTTGTTAATGGTGATAAACGATCATAAACAAATCGAACAGCATCATGATTAAGATTTGCTACATTTGATGAACATAAATGTGATAAAAGTAAAAGAAGTAATGAAGAATTTTGTTGTAATGTACAAAATGCATTACAACATAAATCAACAAAACGATGTAAAGCATCATTTGATGTACCACGATCAGACATAGCATATAACATTTGTTTTGTAAATACAAATGGAGCACGATCACTAAATTATAGAAAAAAAATAAATGAAAGTTTTTCCTCTGATAATAATTAAAATATATATTTATATTAGAATTTATAATCATAGGACAAGTTTTATTCGTGATGAAAGTCTCATGTTGGTTTCTACGCAATAGATATCAAAAAAAAGAAAAACAAAATTTTAATTCATGTTGATAGAAGATAAAGTAGTAAATCAAATTAAGAATGAAAGATATTTGAATGAAAAGGAAATATTGTTTTATATTCGTTGTCTACTCAATCCATATGAAGACAAAAGTAATTAATTCTTCATAGCTTTATGAAATAAGAAATATCAAATTGATTTTTTTTTATCTGTTTATTAAAATAAAAAAAACGTCCTTTCAAATTCGGCTCGAAGAGTAGAATCTAGTGAACTATTCTTTCTTGAAGATGATAGAAAAGTACGACAAATTTTTTTTCATTGATGAAAGTATAAAACAAAGCATCACCTACTTTTTAATACTATTACAAGATTTAAAGGTAGATAAGCTTTTTTTTTTAGTTTTCTCAACCGTTTGAATCGGTTCCATTAAATTTAATCTATTATATTTTCAATTTATAGTACATTTATTATACTTACCGATTAAACCATCCAAATTTTTGTGTATCACCTAAATATTTTCCAAAATCAATATGAAATAAATGTCCTGATTGTTTAACCATAATATTATCATTATGTCTATCACCAATACCTAATATATATGTAGCAACACAATAAGCTGCACATGAATATGTTAAATTTTCTAATGCAATTCGAAATTCTCTATCAGATGTATTATGTAAACGTAACCAATCATATAAAGCTGATTCACCTAATGAACCTTTAATTGTTCCTGAACGTGATTCAATTTCTCTTAATGTTTCACTTTCAGTTATCATTTCAATAAAACCACAACGTTCTTGTGTTTGTACAACATTAAATAAACTTAAACGAAAATCAAAATCATTTGCTTGCCATATTTTATCCATACATGCAAATAATTGTAATACAATTTGATCTTGCTATAAATATGAAACAATAGTAAAGTTAAAAGTTATTTGTATAATTCCATCATCTGTTTACTTAATTCTCAAAAAATACAATAGGTAATTAAGATATTATTGAGAAACGATTTATTATGTAAAAAGAGAGAAGATGTTGCTGAAATGTCTATTACGATGAGGAATTAGTTTCACAAGGGAACATTCCCAACTGTCACATTGCTTTTGAGCCCAACATATGCACATCATGTAGGCTCTAATGATCTATGAATACTCGGAAAAAATTTCGTGCTGCTCGCTTATTACTACAGAGATATTGCATTTTTACTGTATGTTTAAGAAAAAAGCCGTAGTCCCCCTCAGGAACACTAGGAAAACTGAG